CACACACACACACACACACACACACACACACACACACACACACACACACACACACACACACACACACACACACACACACACACACACACACACACGAGACACACACACACACACACACACACACACACAAGTGAAGCACTCATGCCGCTCCCACACTCCTTCCCGTTAAAATTGCATCATATCATGTGCCTTTTTCACAACGCACCGAAACGCCACCGGCGGAAGCGAGCGAATGGCGCGCCCGATTCGTCAGGGCGAAAATCTACGACTAGCGGAATGCCGCACAGTTTCCTCTGTTTCAACGCATACGGTGGATAGCATTGACGACGAAGCGGGACGACACAAACACAAACCCAAACCCCGTCAGCCTTCACACGCCCAACAACGCAACAACGCAACAACGCACGAACGAAAGCAACACACTGTGTGTGTGCCCAGGATCATCACCAACGAGGCATACGGCGCACTCTCTCTTGCTTGCAACAACAACAACAACAACAATTCTCACGAGCAAAGCCGACGAAACTTGCGTTCCAGAGCAAGGCACGACTACCGCTGTGCCAAGGTGAGTGAGTGAGTGAGCGGCTCCCTTCCCCTCTTCTTCTTCTTCCTCTTTGCTCTGGCCTGAATCACCTCAGCCTGCCTCCTCTTGGTCACACTCACCACCGCTTGCTCGTTCTTTCATTCCCCCTCTTCCTTCCTTGTTGTTGACATTGATCGACGACCACAACCAGAACAGCCACACAACCAACAAGCAGCAGGTGCGCGGTTGTGCATGTGCATGTGCCTGCCTGCAGCATGGGATTGATGGCAGTGTTTGGTTGTGTTTGGGGATTTCGTCGTGTGCTTGTTCGTTGTGTGATCGATCGTTGGTGTGTAGCGGGGGTGGTGGTGTTTGTTGTTGTCATGTCAGGTCAGCCACCACAGACCACACACTGTGCCAATATCACCACCACCACCACACAAGTGCAAGTGCAAACACTAAAGACTGACAAGTCTTACACACATACGCTCACACACGAGCAACCCACGCAAACCGCAACCACACAACCATCCGCTCACAAACCACACTCGCTCACTCACACGTCTGCCTTCCTACTTCTCCCTCCCCCCCCCCCTTCTGTGGTCAACTCCACACAATCGCGCGGCGCGCCCTGACGCTGCCTGCCTGCCTGCCTGCCTGTGGTTTCCCTGACGTGCCCAACAATTCTGGCACATTTGTCTCGCCGTCTCCTCCTCCTCCTCCTGCTGCTGCTGCTGCTGCTTGGTCTGTGGCATCAATCCCATCAACCCCCGACCAACCAACCAACCGACGAATCACCCCGACCGCGCTTGTCAACAAACAACAACACCAACAACAACAACAACAACAACAACAACAACAACAGCAACAGCAACAGCAACGCACAGATACATAGCACACAACTCACTCGTGCGTGAAGCGTTTCCCCGACCCGTCTGCTGTGCGGCAACTCCGCCTGTGTTCCTCTGGACTCGGGTCGACCCGTCCCACCCCCGCACAGCCACCAACACCGAGCGAGGCATCCACGACAAACCCTCCTCTCCCCTGCGTTCCGCTCTCGCGCAGCGCTTTTAATTCCCGCTCGACGACACACGCACACGATTGCCATGGAGACTTCCCTGGGAACCATCGAAGATGGTGCGTGAATGTTCGCTGCGCGCGGGGATGAGATGCTTCTGTTGTCTGCTGTGCGTTGTCGTGTGCGTGTGAGTGATGAAGAGAGAGAGAGAGAGAGAGTGTGTGTGTGTGTGTGTGTGTGTGTGCGTGTGTGTGTGTGTGCGTGTGTGTGTGTGTGCGTGTCGCATGGATGGAGAGGTTTGGTGCCGAGGGCCTCACATCGTCAATCGAAAGCAAGCCATTCCAGCACACGAGCCACGACTCACCAACACCCATGCTCGACTGTTTCCTCCCCTTCCTTCCCCTTGCTTCCCTCCCCCTCCCTTCCTTTTCCCTCTTCTGTTTCGTTTCCAGGGTATGATGTGCTGAAGAAGGCCGGTGAAGGAACCTTTTCAGAGGTGATCAAGGCAAAGAGGAGAACGGACGGAAAAGTGTTTGCAGTGAAGAGGATGAAGGGCAAGTTCAGCAGTCAAGAACAGGTGGACAAACTCAGAGAAGTGCAGGCTTTGCGCCGCCTGCGGAACCACCCAAACATCATTCACATGGAGGAGGTCATCTTGTAAGTCGCATGCACGTGTGCAACGGCCGGCCCGAGAGGCATGATCGAGAGCGCACACCGTGTCTTGTCTTTCATGCGTTTCTTGTGTGGTTTAACATAGTACCTTTCGCGTTTGTGGCCTGCCTGAACGACTTGCCTCCTCGATCACCTTGTCTTCGACTTTTCACTCACCTTCTCCTCGCCCAATCCCACTCCCACTGCAACTTATTTTTCCCGCCCCCCCCCCGCCTCCCAACAGCAACAAGGACAAGCGTTCGTTGGACATGGTGTTTGAGCTGATGGACATGAATATTTATGAGCGCATCAAAGGCCGGCGTAACCACCTCCCCGAGGAGCTTGTCAAGCGCTACATGTACCAGCTCTGCAAGGCCCTCGACTACATGCACAGGTCTCGCTTCTCGTGCCTCTCTGTGTGTCTCTGTGTTTGAGTGTGTATGTGTGCGCGTGTGCTGTTTGTGTGTGTGTGTGTGTGTTTGTTTGTCTGTTTGTTTGTGTCTGTCTGTCTGTCTGTCTGTCTGTCTGTTTGTCTATTTGTCTATTCGTCTGTTTGTTTGACTGTTTTGTGCATTGTCATCACTCATCACCCAATCTCGACCGTCTCGCGTTTCGTGCCGCAGAAATGGCATCTTCCACCGCGATGTCAAACCAGAGAACATCCTCATCAAGGTCTGTTTGCCCTCCGCACTACCTCACCACACCACGAAGTAACGATCCCCCTGGAACACAAACGGGCACACCCACACAATTCACTCACTCAAAATACAAACACATACTTACTCACTCACTGACTCACTCTCTCACTCATCCACTCTCACTCATCCACCACTGTACAGGACGAGGACCTGAAGCTTGCTGATCTTGGGTCGTGTCGGGGCATCTATTCCAAACCGCCCTTTACGGAATACATCTCCACCCGCTGGTACCGCGCGCCAGAGTGCCTGCTCACAAACGGATACTACGGCCACAAAATGGACATGTGGAGCGTCGGTTGCGTCATGTTCGAAGTCATGAGGTCAGCGACTGCCTGCATGAGCTGTGTGCGTGTGTGTGCGTGTGTGTGTGCGTGTGCGTGTGTGTGTGTGTGTGTGTGTGTGTGTGTGCGTGTATGTGTGTGTGCTGGTTGTCAATGTGTAGGCGAATCTGCAGACGTGTGCGCCGTTTCGTCAAAAGAACTCTAACCCTACCCTTACAACAACCACCACCACCACCACTTATCCACCAATCGACAGCCTGTACCCGCTGTTCCCTGGCTCGAACGAGCTTGACCAGATCAACAAAATCCACGACATCATCGGCACCCCGCCGCCGCAGGTCATGAGCAAGATCAGGAAGCACTCCTCACACATGCGCGTCAACTTCCCAGACAAGCAGGGCAAAGGTGCGCACCGAGCGCTGTTGTTGTTCGCGCCTGTGGCACACACACACACACACACACACACACACACACACACATGTACACACACACACACACACACACACACAAGTACACACATACAAACCTTGTATTGATTCGTTCAAGACCCCTTTGCTCCAACCCATCCCCATCACTCCTCACGTTCCCATAAAACATCTGTTCTCACCACCACCACTTTCAACCCCCCCCCCCCCTCCACCTCCAGGCCTGCGCAAGCTGCTGCCGAATGCGTCTGAGGAGTGCGTGTCGCTGCTTGAGGGCCTGCTCGACTACGACCCCGACAACCGCCTCTCTGCGCGCCACGCCTTGCGCCACCCGTACTTCAAGGAGCTGCGATCCGAGGACAAGCGTCGTGCCAAGACGGCAGCAGCGGCGGAGGCGGCGGCAGTAGAGCAGCACGCGCCGGACGACACCGCCAACGCAACCGCTCGCCTCGCCAACATGTCCCTCAAGCCACACGACGGTGCGTGTGTGCATGTGTGTGTGCGCATGCTTGTGTGTGTGTGTGTGTGTGTGTGTGTGTGTGTGTGTGTGTGTGTGTGTGTGTGTGTGTGTCGTGTCTGTCTGCCTGTCTGTCTATGTGGTGTGTCCCTGTCTTTGTCTGGATGCATCCTTGTCGCCGCCAATAGCGTCTTGTGCACCATCACCCTGACCACCACCATCACCACCACCACTGCTTCCCACCTGTGCAGCGCGCAAGCTGGTGCACGATGAGCCCTCGCCGCGCCGCCACCGGTCGCTGCGGTCCTTCCGTCGCCACGGCAGCAAGAAGAGCGACGGCAGCCCTGCACCAGAGCCCGTCCCTTCCCTCGGCCACCCCATGCTCGCGGTACGCGCCTTCCTCTCTCACACATACATACACACACAGGCAACACGATTGCCGCAGTGCTGCTGTTTTGCTGGCCATTTGCACTGGCTCCCTGTCGTGGTCGATGGATGGATGGTTGTGTTGACCGAGTTGTGTTGTCATCGTCGTAGTCGTCGTTATTGTTGTGGATGTGCTGTTTCGAGAGCGAAGGGGTAGTAGATAGATTAGCTTAGGCTCACGCTAGAATTGTATCTTTGCTTGCTCTATTCGGCTGTTTGTGTGTGTGTGTGTGTGTGTCTGTGTGTGTCTGTGTGTGTGTGTGTGTGTGTGTGTGTGTGTGTGTGTGTGTGTGTGTGCGTGTGTGTGTGTGTTTCGATGTCCCATCACCCCCTTCTCCCCCTTTGTTTTTCTCCGGGTGTGAAGGCGTCCGCTCACGTGTCGTTATCGCCGCCGAAACCGAAACAGAAGCACCGCCTGTTCCGCAAGGGCCACAGCAAGAGCATGAAGGAGGGCTCGCCAAAGCTTCCCCCAATTGTCATGGGCAGGCAGCCCGGTCGCTCCCTCACACACCACTCGGTATGCACTTCCCGTCTCACTTATTATTGGTTTTGCTTTGCATGACTTGTTTCGCTGTGCTTTGCGCCCTGTGCTGTGCTGTGCTGTGCACCTTTGGTTGTGATGCTTTGTTGTGATGTGCATCTTGCTTGAGTTGCTTCTTGCATGTCCCTTTTGTATTTGTTTCCAAATCTTGTCGCGTACCACTCGCATCCGTGCTACGTGTCTCACACATCAATCCCCTTTCTTCCCTCCCCTTCCCTCTTGCACTTCCCTTGTGCCCAACAGCAACAAGGATCAAAGCTGCCGAGTGTGTCCAAGAGATGAGCGAGCTGCGTGTGTACTGGTGGTTGTGTCTGACCGCGCATCACAACACACACTCCTCTCCCTCCCTTGATGACCGACCCCCTTTGTCGCGTGGCTGTTCCTCTTTCTCTCTTCGTTCCCACGACGCTCCCCTTTCCCCTTTTGCCGCTCGTTGTATATTCTTGCCTTTGTTCCATTACCTTTATCATCATTTCATCACGCACGCCCCACAAATCCCCCGACCCATTTAGCTTCTTCCACCCTCTACCTCCTCCTCCTCCTCTCCTGCTTCTTCTTGATGTGCACTGCTGTCTGTCATGAAGTACCTTTCTTCGCTGGTGATGGGATGGTGTGCCGTGTCCACCACGGCTGCTGCGCCCGCCCCGATCCTCCTCCCATTCCCGTGCCCAACTGACACTCCCCCCCCCCCTTGTTCTTCCTCCAACTCCTCCTTGTTGCTGTCATCCCTCCGCCTTTCTTCTTTCTCGTTCAGAAATGCAGTACATGCATGCAAAGCGTGTACGCGCCCCTTTACCCGCCCCTTCGCAGACATTGTGCATGCCTTCCGCATTTTCACACGCTTATGCGTTGTACCTTACACGTCGTGGCCCTTGTTGCTAATCTGCCGACCTGCCTGCTAAATTCCGCCTCTTCATGGATTGCATGCTGCATGTATGTGCCCTTTCTCCTCCTTCCATTGTGCCCTCTCACCCTCCCTCCGGACTACACCATTGCTCCCTGTGTCCTTCTTTCCCTCATCTGTCTGTCTTCTTCCCCTTGTCGCTGTCTCTCCCTTCACTCTATTGTTTCCGTTCACTCGTATCTCTCTCTCTCTCTCTCTCTCTCTCTCCCTCTTTCTCTCCCATCATGCCCTCTCTCTGTTCTCTTCCTTTTGAAACTCTCAGGGAATTCCTCTCACCAGCTTGGTTTCTCTCGTGTTGTGACCCCTTGCGACTGCCCGTGCCGCTGGTGCGTGTTTCAGCGCGCGCGCACGTGTGTGGTTCTTGGGTTGCCCTTGGGTGGCTGTTACCATCAACACAAGCCTGTATTGCTCACCCCATATTGCTGATTTGATTGAATGTGATGATGGTTGTATGCGTGCGATGGTTGTTGCACTGCCGTTGTTCTTCTTCCCTTGTCGTGTGTGCTGGAAGCGCGAGTGGTGGCTGATATCTGTGTGCTGGTACGAGTGCGTGCTGTGTTGTGTTTGTCCCTTCCCTGTTGCGGTTCTGTTTCACTATCGACAGCGTCTCTATTGACCCCTTCATCATCATTAACAACCCCCAATGTCAACGAGCGAGCAAGGCATGCAGAGAGGCGAGGGGGGCGGGGGTTTTGATGGGGGGGGGATGGCAAGCGAGTTGAAAGGGGAGTTGGGGTCGGGCGAGTTCAAGAAAAGGAGAGAGAGCATGCATGAAAAAACAACACACAAAGCACAACACGCATTTCTGACGACAACACAACAGAAAGAGAGAAGCAGAAGAAGAAGCAGCAGAAGAAGCAAGACAACAACGGCAGTGATGAAGTTGACTGTGAAGCAGACGAGCGGGGAGCCGCTGGAGGTGACGGAGTGTGATGGCGCCGACGACGTGTCCAAGCTGAGGGCCACCCTGGCTATCAAGCTCAGCAAGAAGGCCGAAGACATTCGTACGTTTGCCTCTGTGTGTCTACGTGTGTGTGTGTGTGTGTGTGTGTGTGTGTGTGTGTGTGTGTGTGTGTGTGTGTGTGTGTGTGTGTGTGTGTGTGTGTGTGTGTGTGTCTACGTGTGTGTCTACGTGTGTGTGTGTGTGTGTGTGTGTGTGTGTGTGTGTGTGTGTGTGTGTGTGTGTGTGTGTGTGTGTGTGTGTGTGTGTTCGTGTGTCTGTCTGTCTGTCTGTCTGTCTCTGTCTGCCTCTGTCTGTCTGTCTGCGTCCCTCTGTGCGTTCGGATGTGTCTCACGCACCCATGGCATGTGCTCGTGTATGTGTACAGGCATTATCTTCTCTGGTCGCATCCTCAAGGACGGCAAGCCCTTGTCCGAGTACAAGCTCAAGGATGGAGGTTGGTGTTTGTCAACTCTGTCTGTCCCTCCCTCAGCCATTTGCGGCTGTTGATGCGTTCGATCGACGCATATGCACGCACGCACACACACACGCTCACACACGCGCTGCCATTCTTGTTGTCACCGAAGCGTTCAGTCCAATGCTTTCCCTCCTCCCTTCTCGCTCGCGCGCACTGATGCTTCCTGCACTCGTGACCCTGTCATGCTTTGTCATCTCCTGTGCACAGCCACCCTCCATGCTGTCGTGACGTCTCGCCCAGAGACCAAGACCGCCGAGCCTCCTGCTCAGCCTTCCCCATCATCCCTCTTCCGTAAGCGTTTGTGTGTGTGTGTGTGTCTGTGTGTCTGTGTGTGTGAGTGTGTGTGTGTGTGTGTGTGTGTGTGTGTGTGTTCTTCTGTCTGTCTGTCTGTCTGTCTGTCTGTCTGTCTGTCTGTCTGTCTGTCTCGTCCGTCCGTCCGTCGTCTGTCT